CTACAGAGCTAGTTCTAGGACAGGTTCCAAAACAATACAGAGAAACCCTGTTTCGAAAAACCAAAAAAGAAAAAGAAAAAAAAAAGTTTATAAACAGTATCTTTGGTCATTTACTAAACTAAGGCCATGAGTCATATTCAGCCTAATACCTGTTTTGTTAATAAAGTTTTGTTGGGGCACATAATCATACTGTTTATGTATTGTTTTTGGCTGTTTTGTGCTAAGTGGTGGCATTGAATAGCTGTAACAGACAACCTAAAATATTTACTGCCCAGCCCTTATGAGAAGATGTCTTAGTTAGGGTTTTTGTTTGTGAAAAGACACCATGACCATGACAAACTCTTATAAAGAGAAACATTTAATCGGGGTTGGCTTATAGTTTTGGTGTTTAGTCCATTATCATCATGGTGGGAAGCATGGTGGTATGCAGGCAGATGTGGTGCTAAAGAAGGTATCTTGATGCACAAGCAACAGGAGGTGAACTGTGTACCACACTGAGTGTAGCTTGAACAAATGAGACCTCAAAGCCCTCAGTGACACACTTCCTTCATCAAAACCACACCTCCTAATAGTGGCATTCCCTTTGGGGGCTATTTTCTTTCAATTCACAGAAGAACTTACTGAGTCTTGCTTTAAATGATGGAGGCTGACAACATATGATGGAAGACATTGTGGTGAAGAAGGGGCATGGGCATGAAAGGTTTAAAAGGCCCCAAGCCTCCACTTAACACCTGAAGAGTTTTAGGCCAGCCAAATGGAGTTCTTTGCTGTCTTTTCTTCCTTTGAAAATGGGTGTTGAAAGCATCCTAGTTGTAGGGACGTTTTAACCACCACTCTTGAATGCACCTGTGAAGCATCCATCCTATGTGTTTCTGAGCAGGCAGCCCACCATTCTCCATGGACACAACTCATCATGGCTGCCTTTTGCTTTCTCAGGAGGAAGAAGCCAAGAAGCTGGTAAGTGAGGCTATTGCAGCTGGCATCTTTAATGACTTGGGGTCTGGAAGCAACATCGATCTGTGTGTCATCAGCAAGAGCAAGCTGGACTTTCTTCGTCCATACTCAGTGCCCAACAAGAAGGGGACCAGGTAAGTGAAGGTGATGGCATTTTTCCTGTCACCTTTAGAATCTCCATGCCATCTGGATTGGGCTTTCTGGATTCTTTCCCACACCTAGAAAACCTGTATTCTAAAGCAGCTTATACAACAGTTCTTGAGTCAAGGCTACTTTATGATCACAGGCTGTGGTCAGGCATAGAGAAGTGTCTTCATTTATCATATCAGCAGGAGAGAGCTTCAAGCTGAGATCTGGGACATGAAGGTTTCTTCTCCTTTTGTTTCCTGCCTCCCCTTATGTTTTTTTCAGCATCTTAAGCCCTGAATGGAATCTTGTGAGGTATTTGGGTTTCGTGGTAGCCAGACCACAAACTTTGTTCAGGCTGGCCCAAGACATCCTAAACGTTCTATGTCCGTGGCTAGGAGCCTTTGAATTGTGGCCATGGTGGCTACCAGTGTTGTTCATGCTAAAAGGGAGTTATGCCATTGAAGCTGTGGCCTATGCTCTATGGATGCTTCACTTCTGTGTTGCAAGCCAGAATCTGAGCAGTGAGGTGTTCTAGGTCTAGGCCTTGGACCTGGCGTCTGCATTTACCTGTAGCTTACTGATGGAAATAAAGCTCTTATGGGTGTTTAGCTGCTTTAGCACTCTGGGTCTTGAGTTCTGATTTTAGCCACAACCACCTGAGTGAGTCGGCAATAACTGGACATGGGTACTGGTTAGTAGCACAGGACCTCTGGAAGGCTTGCTTCTCATCCACTGAGGAGCCCTAGCTCTAGATTCACAAGGAAAGGGTGTCCTTCAGTGCCAACAGCTCTTTGTGGTAGGCTGCTCTCAGCATTGTGGAAGCTTAGTGTCTGGCAGTTTTGAGGGGTGGGTTAAGGGATGGCCACTAGTTAGCATGGTGGCTCTGGGTATCAGTCCTGTATTTGAAATGATAGAGCTTGGCTAGTGTGATCTGAGTTCTCCAGGCTTTGAGTGAAATGGGAAGCCCCCTCTAATATACAGGCTGGTTTGGGAGAACGGCTTCTACTAAAGGATGCTGATCTTTGGGCAGAGAACTGGGGAGTAGTTCTGTTCCATGTGGACTGAATAGTCAGTCCCTCAGGTGGAGAATTCTAAAAGCTACCTTTGAAGGCTGGGTGTGGTTGCAAAAGATAGCAGCACTGTGGAGCCAGAGATGTGGTTTTATGGCAGAACACTTGCCTAGAATGTGTGAGGCTCCAGGTTCCATCCTAGCTTTTGGGGTGAGTATGGGCCCAACAAGATGACAAGGGGGCTAGCTGGTAAGATGATAAGGAAGGGGCTAAGCACAGGAAGGTATGCATTAATCTGCCTTGGGACAGCACCAGGTATCTACACACTTTAGAATCCCACTGTCCTTTGGCTGTAAGAATTCTGCCTAGACAAAGGAACCCTCTCCAGAGTGGAAAACAAGTGAGGGCAAAGGCTTCCCAGTTGCTCTGTGCCCATCACCACTCTTGACCTGGCTGCTGCCCTGCATGCTGCTAAGGCCAACAGTCTTACCCAAAAGGTACAGGGGCACTTGTGTCCACTCCCCTTTAAGACAGTAAAAGTCAGATGAGTCAGCTGTTTGGGCCACTGGAACTTTGGTCTCAGGGCAGCACTTTACTGCCAGTGCCCTTCCTGGTTGGTACCAAGAGACATCTTTAAACCTTAAGGAAACAAGGACATATGTGTTTTGAAAAAGTGTACCTCCTAGAGTCCACCTGAGCATCAGGTACCCTTTCTTCTGCTCCCTGTTGGAGCCCAAGTGTCTGTTTGAATGGACAAATTTCCTAGGAGCATATGATCATGGCAGGTCAGGTGGGTGTGTCTGGTGGTGATTCACCATGCCCCTGCAGGGACACTTGGCCTTGTGTGTTCTGAAGTGATGAGCCTGAAGCTTGGCTGTGGACTGTGTTAGTTGTATTGCTGGTGCTTCTAGAGTTGTGGGGCAGAAGGCCATATTGTGTCATTCACATTGCTGCACAGAAGGATGTGAGTTTTAAGGAAGTGATAGCCTGAAGTTAGATGACCAAGTAGTTTCTAACATGTACGGAGGATGGCGGAGTGTGAAAGGAAAATGGAAAAGCAGTGCTTTTTATGTTTAAATGTTGTCTGCCACACATACCCCTCAAGTGTCCCTATTTTGTAGTATTTGGAAGTCAAGGGCAATTGACTCCCTGAAGCCACAGAGGTGGAGTTCCCAGAGCCAGGACTCCAGTCAAGCCTGTTGCTGTCTGAGCACAATGTCTTTGTCCTGACCTAACTGCTTTTGTTTCTCTCAGGTTTGGCCGGTACAGGTGTGAAAAAGGCACTACAGCGGTCCTCACTGAGAAAGTCACCACTCTGGAGATTGAGGTGCTAGAAGAGACTGTCCAGACCATGGACACTTCGTGAATGGTGCTGGAGTAGCTGGTTATCTCTCTGGGTGACTGGGGGCCACCCCACTCCACCCCACCCCACCCCACCCCAAAACACGCATTAGGCTACTGCTGGCCCAGTGAGGCTCAATTAAAAAAGGACAAAACCCAGTGAATATCTGCAATGTGGGGATTGTGGGTCTGGGCTCCTTCCATGTTTTGGTGAGTGTCTGTGGTATGTCCTGAAACCAGATTGACTTTGGCTCTCCAAATGAACGTGTATTACCCAGACTTGTGCTTGCTTACATTTTCACTTGGGGGGGGGGGTGGCCCCAGGTGACTGTCAAGTGGAAAGCAGTGATCTAGTCTCCACCTATGGCATGGCACAGTGGATGGCTTGCCCTGCATGCACAAGGCTCCAAGTTTGCCTCTACATACACACCAGACAGACACCTTCAGTTTGAGTTCTTGGGCTATATACATGCTCTGGTCTAGAAAAAGGCAGATGGAAACTTGGCTTTCCCGTGGCTGTGTGAAACTGGTGAGCTGCACTCTGGCCATTCTCATGACAATCGAAGGAATGCTTGGGGTTTGCTATTTTTTGTAATAATTAGGACATATCAGTATTACCTCTCTGAATGATGATTGGTAGAGACTCTGGACACCTCAGGGGCCATTTTATTGGGCAGATGGTTCTCTTGGTATAGACAGTGGTTGGAATTCTTTATTCTACAGAGGCTAATTGTGCCAAGGACAGATAGAACAGAGCCTCAGAAGAGATGCAGTGCTTACCAAGAATAAGGAAAACTTTCAGGAGTTAGTGCTGGGCAGGAGACAGAGACATTGATCCTCTCCAGAATGAGTATTATGGGGTGGACCACTGGAGGCCCACTTCCCTTATGGAAACTGCTAGAGCCAGCTTGAGAGAGTACAGTGGATTTGTTGTGGGTGGCATCTTGGCTGATTCTCCAAATTACTTGGGGGAACTTATTCCTTGGACTGTGTTGGGCCTGGCAAGTTGTTTCTAAAGGTGCCTCAAGAAGTTGTGCTGTTATTGTGTGCTAGGTTTGGTCTGCAATTCAAGATGACGCTGACTTGCTGTTAGAGCCATCCCTGAGCTGCTCAGCAGTCACTCCTTTTCCCATTTTGTCTAAAACACAGAGAGCTTGCTCTGAGCAGAAGCCATACCTGGAGTGCAGACTCTGCTCAGAAGATGGTGGCCATCCAGGGACCCTATTTTTGAGAGGTTTGGGTAGTAAGTTCACCCAGCAGCAAGTTAAACATCATCTGACCAGACACAGTAGCACTGGCCTGCCACCAAATGCGTACTGTTTGATTATTGCATAGGCCAGTTGTACTTAACCTTCCTAAAACTGTCACCCTCTAATGCAGTTCCTCATGTTATGGTGAGCCCCAGCCATAAAGTTATTTTTGTTGCTACTTCATAACTAATTTGGTTACTTTTATGAATCATAATGTAAATGTTTTTCGGAGGTAGAGATTTGCCAAAGGGATCGTGACCCAGTTGATACCACTGTCATAGTATAACAAAATAATTCAGACTGTTTCCTCCGGCACTTAAGTTTCCTTAAATTCACATTTATAAATTAGTCTTCACAGTTAATCCTATTGAAAACAAAAAGTAAATGAACATATTTCTGCTTTTCCTGCACATAATACAGTTGTATTTTAATTCTTGACTCTCATGGTTCACAGACTTGTTTTCTGAAAGGGTGACAGGCGGCTAATTTGCATCACTCTCTTTTTTTTTGAGTCCAGTCTCAAACTTCCCATATTGCCTAGGGTGGATTCTTGATCCCCCAAGTGCGGGGATAACAAACTTAGGCTGCCATGTCCAAATAACATCTTTTGTTTTAGATACTGTCAAAAAGGCCAACAAACTTGCCCAAGTCATACTAGAAGGATATAGAATCAGAATTTGTAAAGACCCGTGTGAAGGCAAAGCTCTTGGGTTTTTCTTGCTATCTCCCATGGATGAAAATGATGCAAACTTACTCTACAGTGAGCCATAGCATTCCAGGAGGCAATGGTATATGGCAGGGTTCAGAAGAGGAGGACTTTCCTGTCTCCCAGACACCATGCATCTCAATGTCCCGATGCTAGGTGCTCCTCACTGTCACTCAAGTTATATAATACAGAGAAAGTTATTAGCGAACCTCTACTCTAAACCATTATTTCTATTGTATCCCCTTACAAGAGAGTAAATGAAGTACATAGTCTGGTTGTATGGAAAGGTCCCAAGAACTAAACCAACTGGTGTTAACTGTTTGCAAACACTGACACACACCAGTCACCCGTTCCCTGCAAGTCTGACAGTGTGGGCCTGGACAGGTCTGAAGAAACCAGGCAGAGGTTCACATTTCAGTTGGTAAAGGGGATTCAGTGACTGCCAAGCCCCCAACTAATAGCCCAGCTCAGATTGTCTGCAACAGTTCAAAGAAAGGACTTTGGAGATTGACCATAACCCAGCTGCTTTCAGCTCAGTGGCAGAGGCAGAGGCTGCCTTTGGTAGCATGCTTTCAACTCAGTGGCAGAGGCAGAGGCTGCCTTTGGTAGCATGCTGAGCCCTCTGGTCTTGGCTGTGGGGGCTTCCTGGTGCCACTTGGGGAGAGGACTCAAGTAAGACAAGTGGTGTTTGGCTTTGATGAGGCATGCCACATTCAGGTGCTGGATGTTCAGACATGCATCTGCCTAGCCACCTGGTGCACATATCCGATATCAGGTCGGTGGTTGGGGTCAGGGTAGATACACATACTGACCAGTTCCCGGAGCTGCAAGGAAAGAGCAGTTCTGTCAGTCTTAAAGTGCTCAGGTACTTCTACCCATATCCACATGTTCTGCCACACAGCACCTACACAGATGGTACTGTTGGCCCCTTTCAAGTGAAGATTGCTTTGAAGGATAAAATATATGGTCACACAGCTCTCGGGGTGGCCAGGTCCATGCATGCCTAGGCCTGTCTAGTTCCAAAGTCGAAGCTTTGAAACCCTGAGTTGTTACCCTCAAATAATCTTCATTTTTCACCTGTGTACATCTTTGTGCAGATTTGTGAGTACCCACCCTATGCACATATGTCTGCTCTCAGTCACACAAAGCCCAAACCAGAGAAAACTCAAGGAAAGAGCTTATTGATCATAATAAATGCATTAACATGCAGCAAGGCTGCAGTCTGAACACCCCCTGGCCTCTTATTGTGCTCATGAAAGACATGCTTTTAATTATCCAGACACTGAGGCTTCGCCCCACAGGGTGGAGGAGGGGCACCTTAAGCCTCTGATCCCTCTTATTCTGATAGCCAGAGTGCTAGTTATTTTAATGGTAATTAAAATAATGACCTTCTTAAGCGAGACACCGGGAAGGCTGTTTCCATTTCAGTGCCTGCTGCTGGGGTGCTGGTGGTTACTAGCAAAAGTAGAGAGGGGAGGCCCTGGACCAGAGCTAGGGTCTCAGGAGGCAGAGCTTGAGGAGGGAGCAGGGATGTTCTAGAGGCCCTAGGGCTACAGCATGCACCTCCAGCTAGGGGCCAGTACTGGAGTTCCTGCCACATTGAGCTGGCTTAACTGGCCTATAGAAGCATAGGGTGTGCCTCCCTCCTTTGCCTGGTCATTTTGTGATCCCACTGTTTTATAAACACTGAAATCCATGACCAGATGAAAGTGGTGTTTGTAGCACATCTGGAGTCCAAGATCAGTGACTTCTGAAGCTGCTCTGCAAAGAGAACCATGGCCGACCCATCAGGTGAAAATATGAAAACAACGTCAAGGTGAAATCTGCCCTACAACCACTTAAAAGCAGAATACATATTTACTAGTCATAGAGAGAAACAACAACAAAAAAGACAAGACACCTTAAGATACAATAGTGCTTTAAAAATAGGGTGTACTTAGGGATACACCCTGTGCTGAGTAGGAGGGTCTGGAGCTGCTACCTGCCAGGGGTGTGTGCTAGTGAGACAGAATGGCTGCCCTGGGAGATAAAGCTAAGGGCTTTGGAGACTTTATTTCTGCCTTGCAACTGAAGTGGAATGGATGGCATCCAGTGGCAGACTGGCATAGGGGCACACAACTGTAGAGTCAAGTTTCATGTCTTTTTGTAGTGTGGAAGTTCTAGTTTAAACAAAGGAAAAAGCCAGTGAACAATGTAATCCGTTCTTCATTTGTTCCAGCCTGTTCTCCAGAACAAATCTTTTCACCGGAGGGGCTAGTGAGAACTCAAGCCACTGGAGCAGAAAAGTTCTGTACAATTCTCCACACTCCTGATCTCCTCACCTGCACAGGTGAGGACCAGTGGAACTGGAGGCTGGCTTGGAGCCTCTTAGGCTTTGCCCCCATACACAAGGTATTACTTGTAAAGCCTCAACTTTCCTTAGTACAGTGGTTCCTTAGTGTAGCTTTCCTTAGTACAGTGGTTCTCAACCTTCCTAATGCTGCAGCCCTTTAATACAGTTCCTCATGTTATGGTGAGTTTCAACCATAAAATTACTTTTGTTGATATTTCATAACTAATTTTGCCACTGTTATGAATTGTAATGTAGATATTTCTGTTTTCCAATGGTCTTAGGTGACCCCTGTGAAAGGGTCCTTTGACCCCCAAAGAGGTTGCAACCCAAAGTTTGAGAACACTGCCTTAGTGGAAACATAATGAGGGAAAGGTTCTGTACATATGAGCCATTATCATGAGACACTGACCTTGGGTTCTATAGAGTGAGAGACCATAGGCTCTCAACAGATGTGACAGGTGATATTTAGCAACATTTACATAGAGCTATGTTACCTCTAATAGATACTTTTGATGGTGTGGTAGATGCTGGCTTGACTCTACTAAGCAAGATACATGTATTAATCCTTATGAATCTGGATAGGAGATTCTAGTTTTGTCCCCATGTTATAGATGAGGGGAACAAGACTAATGGCAATGAAGGAAGTATATAGACCTGTCTTGACTGTACTCTGAACCAGGAATGTGCCAGGAGGCCTGTCAGTTCCCCCTATTCATGAAGGAGAACCCATCTGAAGATGACCTTCACAAAGCCAACAACTGTCCAGAGCCCCTGCACCCAGCATTAAATCTGAAAGCCCAAACTCCAGGGTTACAGGCTTGTTTCAAAGAGCAGACCAACCAGCTAGCCCAAGGCGCCCACTTTTCACCTCCCTGATATTCAGTGCCCCTAGCCTGGCATTAGGTCCTACTGCAGCTGTGCACTACCCCTCCTGGAAGTACAGTAGGACTGGCCCCCAGCTTGCTCACCTTCTCAGAGTAGTGCTCCCCTGGGAGAGGTGGATAGTCACACTGCTCGATCTTCTGGCAGAGGGAAAAGAGATTCATCTTATCTCCATAGAAGGGACTCTGGAGAGCTGCCATCTGCAAGGGAAGGGACACAAGGGCATCAGCCTCAATCAAGGTCTAAAGGATTTCAGAAGCCAGAGGGACCACTGGTTGGTCTCCATTGCAGTTGAATGTCTTGTGGGCTTCTCCCTCTCTGGAGCCCAAGGAGGTTGGGATTGCAATAAGGAAATGCTGTTGAATTCTGAGGCCACATCCCCAGCTCTCTTAGGTCTCCTCCCATGGTCTGGCTGACAAGAGACTCTGCTCCCTACTTTATTTTGTTTTTTTTTTAGTTTTTGTCTTTCAAGACAGGATTTTTCTGTGTGAACAGCTCTGGCTGCCCTGGAACTTGCTCTGTGGACCAGGCCTTGAATTCCCAAGTGCTAGGATTAAAGGCGTGTGCGCCCCCCCTCCCCGCCCCGTGTGGGTGTGGGTGTGTGGTGTAGGGGGACAGTAGAGGTCACTATCTACCTTTTCTTGAAGACAGGGTCTGACATGATACTTGTCACTGGCTGACCCGTGAGCCTCAGAGATCAGCTCGTCTCCACCTACCCAGTACACATGCACAGCATACAGCTTTTTCAGCATGCGAGGGTTTCTAATTCAAGTCCTACATGCAAGATGAGCACTTTCCAACCGAGCTCCTTCCTCTGCCCATCTCTGTTTGAATCCCAGGCTGTCCTGGGACTCATTGTGTCATTCAGGCTAGCTTAATTCGTGGTAACCCTGCCTCACATTCTTGGGTGCTTAGGTTACGGGCAAGTGATTACCATACTTGACTCTGATGGATTTATCTAAAGAGTGGTGGCAGTATCATTCTTGGGAACATGTCTGCCCGAAAGATAACTTCAGTGAAAGGCCATGCATGAAGGGCCAATGCTCTTGGGACAGATGTGGAGAGGGGGAGGTGTAACCATTTCCTTTACTGCTGTGTGCAGGCTAGTGCCCTCTCTCAGGGAAACTATGGGGTGGACAGAAGCTGGGCTCTGCAGTTGGTGGCTGTTTAGTTGGAAGCCCCAGCCTACAGGGTATGGCATGGATCAGATACCACCCTGGGCACCGTCAAGAGGCAGGCTGACAGGCTCTGGGGAGCAACAGGACTAGGACAGTAGCCCTAGTGTGTTCTCACCAGGGACAGACTCTAAGGCCTCCCTTTTCCTATAGTACCCACATTCCCCACCATGTTTAAGGTACCTGGAAAAGCCTCAGGGAGGATCTACAGGAACATGGAGGTAGCACAACATGGCATATGAGGGACCCATCTACTGGTAAATCCATAATGGCATTCAAGTGTTTCCTGTCACTCACTTCCTGTTACCTTCCTTCTAGTGAAGGGCCATTGGGTAATCATGCCCCACCCAGTCCAGGTCCAATCTGTTTGACACCCTACTGAGGAACCAGGCTGTCAATGCCTTTGCTTTGGCTCACTTGGCATACCTGAGTACTCTGGACTTCTGTTGGGGAGTGGGTCAGAGTCCCAGCTTAGAGCAGGAGAGAATCCAAGGAAGCTGGCAGCTTTAGTTTCCTGGTCCACCCCCATCCTCTGCTCACCCCCTGGGATCAGCCTGGTTCCAAGAACAGCTTGCCATCTCCAGAAAGGACCAGGGGTGGGCCAGTGGTTCTATAGATGGCTTCAAAAATAGGGGGCATTCATTGGTTTAGGGTTTGGTGCAGGTGTTGACACAAATGGTTCATGAGCCCTGGCTGCACAACAACGCTGCAATGACCTTCCTGTACTAGGCAGGGAGTGGCAAGTACACAGAGGCCCCACTCATACCCAGGAGCTGGTTTTGCCATAAAGCCTGCAAAATGGAATGACATGGGTGATACAGCTCCAAAAATGAAAATGAGAGCCTTGGTGCGAATGATTATTGGGCAACTTCAAAAGGACATTTGCTGTCACAGTAGGGAGGAGCTGGGGCCCCTAGGAGGCCCTCAGAGTGACCTAGTGACCTCCAAGTCACAGCTGGAAGATCCAGATGAGTGTCCTGGCTTCTTGTGGATAGATAGGATATTGAATGTTAGGAATCACCAGGTCAGCATTAGTGGGACTGTGTTTAGGCACCAAGTCAGGACTTGGAACAGCCTGCTTGGCTGGGAACTCATCAAAGCCATGGCTGGGTTTGGTGCACACCAAGACGGGGCTGCCCCTGCCTCTGAGGAATGGTAACAAAGGCTTGGGCAGGGGACAGGGCTGGCAGGAGCAGAGGGAGCCAGCTGTCATCTTCCTGTCTTCCAGTAGGAGAGGGACCAACAGACCAATCTGATTGGATTTTCACAAACTGACCGTTTGGAACTCCAAATGGCCCAGAAAGCACCTCTACACGGAGTTGACAGTGGGCTCTCCCTGCCACTAGGGCTTCTCCAGCCTCAACTGCGTGCTCTATCAGAAACCATGTCTGAATTACTCACCATCCAGCTGCTGGCCCTGGGCCTGCCACCCTGATAAGCACAGCAGGCTGTGAAGTAACTTGAGGGCCTGCTGGTGATATTGGGGATTATAAGGATTACCCAGGATAGTGAGATTTACTCAAACTGGGGGCCAGCAGGCCCCTGGCAGGTTGGAGCAAAGGACTTGCTGTTGGGGGCACAGGTATTGGCTACTTCTAGACCACTAGACCACTAAGAGTCATGGCTGTCTTCATAGTTAGTCACATGTCTTTATTTTCCTTCTCTAGGTGTGACACAACTCAGGAAGGTAAGGAGTAGGGGTGTGTGTGTATGTCAAAGAACCTAGGATGTGCAGGGAGAATGAGATGAGACTTGACTTAAGGACCCAGGCACCTTCTTGTCTGTCACCCAGCTTCTCCCAAGCATGGTTTGGAGTGAAGTGATTTAGAGGGGACTTGAGGCCTGGTTCTCTGAGGGAGGGGCTTTCCAGGCCATTCTACTGGGCAGCCAGAATTCCAAAGCAGCTTTTCCCAGCCCACAGTCTTTCTGGGTTTCTGTCTTAGGTGGGCCTTTGAGGTTCCTCTGCAAGGGGCTAGCACCAAGTGAGACCTCAGCTAGTCCTGGGGGACTGTTTCTGGCCTTGTACACTTTGAGCCCCTGGTCATGGTGACATGGCATGCGTTCCTTGGGGATCATGAGACTCCTCAGCATTTTTAAGTTAGGCTGGGAGTGGGAAGATGGAATTTGTCCCAGCTCTTCAAGCTGACGCCTTGGTAAGACACCATAGGTGGTCTCTGGAAGGTGAAAGCCATGACTGTCTCTTGCAAATTACCCAGCACCAGGCCCAGATGAGCCCTCCCCCCTTTCTGGGAAAATAATACACTTCTTTCCCTGATACACTGTAAGGGTAGAGGGTTGCCAGCTTCAGCAGAATCTGCTATCACCACAAAGGGCAGTTTATGCTTAGCCATGGCCTTCAATTCCGTCCTTGTGGGCAAATATCCTTAGAGGAACTGACTGATTAATTTAGCTTCCCACTGCCTTTTGCTCTTGCATGGCTACAAGGCATGCAGCACAGGACACTATCAATGATAATCAACTGGCTGAGCTGATCCCTGCCACCATGCTAGAAGCCACCTCATCGGGTATGTGTTTAGACATCAAGTCAGGACTTGGAACAGCCTGCTTGGCTGGGAACTCACCAAAGCCATGGCTGGGTTTGGTGCACACCAAGACTGGGCTGCCTCTGCCTCTGAGGAATGGTAACAAAGGCTTGGGCAGGGGACAGGGCTGGCAGGAGCAGAGGGAGCCAGCTGTCATCCTCCAGTCTTCCACTTGCCCTGAGGGATGCTCATAGCTCTCCTCTCAGTCAGGATGTATTTATGTTTAGAGACCCTCGTGACTCTAAGGTGACAGAAAGCAGCTTCTGAAAATACACAACACAGATGGAAAAAGAAAAAGATAAGCCATCTGGATTGGGACAGTACACATGAGAGTAGGTCAAAGGGGACTCCCTCCATGAGGACCCAAGTTGAGCTGTGCCAAGACCTCCTGTTGGCCAAAGCAAAAAGGGAAATGTGTCAAGCTGTTGGGCTTCTAAGGACTGGTAGTAAACGCCAGCTGCTCAGCTCAGCTCGTCAGTGGGCTCACAGAGAGGCCTGAGTGTTGGGAGCTGGGCACCTCAATCATAGGGCCTCATGCACTTCTCTCTACAAGGCAAGTAGACTGTCCCACACATAGGGCAGTTGGAGACGAGGTCAAAGGGAAGCCCCAATCCTTCGAGGACTGCTGCTGCTGCTGAGATTTGGACCTTGGGTCCTTTTGCCCTGTCTGAGGTCCTGCTGGACACTGCATCTCTGTCCTAGGAGGCCAATGGAGTTCCATGGGCATGCTCACAGAGATGAAGTAAAAATCGCTCACTCTAACTGATCTCATGTTTAACAGTATTTGGCAGTTCTTGAACAGCTGCCCTGTCACCCCAGCACCTAACATGGCTGGGTCATGCTCTCTTACAAGAGTGATGTGGGATAATGTTCCTGTTCACTGTAAAGATTTGTCACCCATACTATTTAATAAAATGCTGACTGGCCAGTAGAAGGCAGGAAGTATAGGCAGGGTTATCAGACTAGAATTCTGGTAAGAGGAAAGGCAGAGACATAGTCGCCAGCCACATACAGAGGAAGTAAGATGAGAATGCCTTACTGAGAAAAGGTACCAAGCCATGTGGCTAAACATAGATAAGAATTATGGGCTAATTCAGACTGTAATAAGCCTTAGCAATAGGCCAAAACCAGTTTCTAATTAATATAAGCCCCTGTGTGTTTATTTGGGACTTGACAGCTATAGGACATGGCAGGACAGAAACTTCTGTGATACAAGAGTCTTACCCCAGCACTTGCCATGCCTAATTTCACAGAAGTCTCATCAGGTCTATTCCTGAAACTGATGCCTCAGAGTCTTAAAGACACTTGGCTTTCCTCACTGTTGACTGTTCTGGCCTGAATTGCCTTCTGGATGACACGGGGCTACTTAGTCCTAGGAGGTAACCCACACAACTAGTACACAAAGGCATCTTTTCTAGCCAAGGATTTAAAATTTGTCACCTTCTGCTGGGGTGCAGGCTCAGTAACAGTATCTCTACCTCTCACCCTTCCCTTGCCTTAACACATCTCAAGCACCTGGCTCAAAAAGAGACACTGAATTCTATACTATACTTTGTAAGGAGATTGAAATTCTGACCCCAGACAGTCTGTCTGGAAGCCAGGAGGCTGTGTGTCATTGCCAAAGGGCTCTGCATGGACCAGTGGTAGGGTAGTGGGTGCCTGCATCTCACATAGCAGTCATGGAACAGTCCCCAGAGGTCAAGGAATTAGTTGTTTTTTTTTTTTTTTTTTTTTTTTTTTTTTTGATTTGTTTGGTGTAGCCCCAGGCACTTTCGTGAGTGTTACTGCTGCAGTCAGTTCCCAGCCATCAGTTTAATAATGGGGTTCATTAGGTTGGCCAGTTCAACCCAGATTCACAACCCTCACACAAACTCCAGGCTAGCAAAAACAGACAGGGTTTCAGTTCTAATCCCATAGTCCTCATCTGTCTATAACCTTGTATATTAAGGCTCTAATCAGGCAGCCAGGGCTCAGTGGAGATTCTTGGGAGCCAAGCAATGGGTCCCAGCAGCCTGGTGGGGAGGTGCAGCCACTGACAGAGACATCAGATGGCCCAAGTTTCACCTCTCTTGGTGACCTGTGCTCCTCATTGACCCAGAACCCCACTGTGGCTACCTTAGATGAGTGAGGCTTATGCTTGTCAAGTTACCTCATCTGGAGCATATTGAGACTCAACAGGCTTGTCTCTGGCTCCAGGCTGGCTACCAGATCTGGAAACAGCCAGGGAGGAGAAAGGTATGCAGCAAGGCCCACATTGTTGGGCCTGGAGTACTCTGTAGGGTAGTAACACAGGGGTATGAGCCAGGCATGACTCCATACCCATTCCCAGTACCTGTGTAGGACCTGTCTTACCAATGAATAATACATAAATGTGGTTACCAAAGAAATCAGAGAAGAGCAGTGGGGATGTCCCACTGGTCCATCCCCTTTTTGGAGCCTATAGTACAGCTTACTGCAAACCACCCTTCCAGCAAGGATTATGCTTGACCACATTTCTGAGGCTGTCTCTGCTGTGTCTGCTGAAGGGTGAAGGACTGGTCTCCAAAGGGTCCTGAAACTGCAGATGGGTATGTATGTGCAGCACCGGTACTGCCCTAAGTGGATAGGGTAAGCTTGTCTTACCTATACCCTCATGGAAGTCCCCATAGGCCACCAATCTGCCACATGAGAAACTTACCTCATACAGCAGACAGCCTAGAGACCAGATGTCTGACTTGAAGTTGTAACCATTCTCGTGGATCCTCTCTGGTGACATGTAGTATGGTGTTCCCACTGCAACACAACAAGGGGTAGGATTCAGGAGCTGGGCCTTAGTGGGGGCAAAGACAGGGGCTCAGGGAGAGGAGATATGGCCTGACCCCTCCTTGGTCAGCTGAGATAGTTGGCCATTTTAATAGAAATTTAAGTGGATCCCCAGGACCCCTCAGATTTAAGAATTGGTTGGGGGCCATATAGCCAGGGTTAAATGCAGAAAAGCAAGTGACCACCACATCTTTAGGTAACAGTCAGGACAGTCCAGAACAAGTTCTCAACAGGAGAGAACAACTGTCCATGTCGACTAAGCCACATGAGGGGAAACTGAAGCTCAGGCAAGTCAAGAGGCTTACAAAAAGGGGACAATCCATTAAAATGATCAACTTCATGATACTTCAGTTCACCAATGGCAAGCTAGAGTGTGATGGTTTGAATGAGAAATGTCTCCTGTAGGTTCAGGCACTGAACTTTTGAACCCCAATAATGGTGCTGTTTGGGGAAGTAAGGGAACTTTAAGAGGCACAGCCTTGCCGAAGGAAGTTTGTCAGTGGGGGTGTGCGTTAAGAACGTATAGTCTTACTCCATTTTCAGGGTCATTATGACCTTTCAGCTTCCCACTCTGGCTGTCTGCCACTGTCTTAGTCAATGTTCTATCAATATGAAGAGATACTATGACCAAAGCCAACTGGGGAGGAAAGGCTTTATTTGGCTTATACTTCCATATTCACAGTTCATCACTGAAGAAAGCTAGGACAGGAACTCAAACAGGGCAGCAATCTGGAGGCAGAAGCCGATGCATAGGCCATGGAGGGGTGCTGCTTATGGGTTTGGTCCCCATGGCTTACTTAATTTGCTTTCTTATAGAACCCAGGACTGCCAGCCCAGGTCGGGCTCCACCCACGATAGGCTAGGCCCTTCCACACCAATCACTAATTAAGAAAATTCCCCACAGGCTTGCCCACAGTACAGTTTTATGGAAGTATTTTCTCAATTGAGGTTCCCTCCTCTGATGACTCTAGCTTGTTGACATAAAACTAGCCAGGACAGCTTCTGCGCATGCCTCCCCATTATGGACTCCCTCTCTGGGACTGTGAGCTAGAATCAGTTTTCTGGGTCATAGGATTTTATCACAGCAACAAGCAGATAACTAATAAGCAGGGACAGAGAAAATCACCCTAAGGTCTCCCTGACATGAACCAATACCTAACCAAGATGGTTTGAGTCTGAAAAAGGCCCCCAAAGACAACATGCTAACAGTCCCTAACTGATGGCATAATTGGGAATGTGGTGGGATCTTTAGGGAGTGAGGTAAAAACCTCTGTTTATATCTAGATGGCAGGATATAAACTTCTCTGGGCTGAGGCTCCTGAACACCCTGGGAGGACAGCTCTAGTCCACAGCAGGAGTCAAGGGGACACGGGTATATTATGTAACAGGCTGTGCATATCTTTTCACTCTTTTTCTTTGTAACCTAATGCTCCACTTACTCAATAGACAATGGTCTGAGACATGGTCCCCATGAACTCACATGTCTAACCATGACAGCATCAAAGACATGGTTGAGAACTGGACATTCTATCCTGTACTCATATTCTATGGTGGTAATCAGGGGCTGGTGGTTCCTCAGTAAAGGAACTGCCAGCTAATATGTGCAGCTGTGACCTCTTAAGGGCAAGTGGGATATCAGGAATAAAAATCTGTGTACTCCAGTCACAAGAACACAAAAAACCAAACCAATGGCCAGGTGTGAAGTGAAGAGGTGTCACAGCCAAACCACAAGGCAGAATCCATAGGTCTTGGTAAGCAGTGGGAACCTAGAGAAAAGTGGTACTGGATTCCAGCACTCAGGGGCTACACTTGGAAGTACCCATAATACAAGGATGATGGTACAGGACATGAGACAGGGGTCAGAACTGTGTCCCAGCAATGCTTGCCCCTGTGGCTCTTCCCACTTGTCCCAAGCACCTTTTATATTTGCTAGGCCTAGGCAAGAGGCACTCTAGGGTGCAGTGATCCATAGAAAGCCTGGGCTAGACCTATCTGGAGGAGAGGGGTTCTAGTGCCTTTTGCTAGCCTTAGTTCTCTTCCCCAAACCAATTCTAGCTCCTGTCTATTCACCTCTGAGCTCTGCTCCACTCTGCTTGTGCATTGGGGAGCTCCAGCAAGGTCAGCCATCACTTTCTCCTTCTGGCTCTAAAGCATGTCCTGGTCACAGCCTATGCGAGCACCAGGGTTGCTGAGGAGAGGCAAGAGAGCAGCTTTCCCCACTCACCATTGCTCTCCCAACTCACTGATGTGTTTATTTTAATTTTCTTTCTTTTTTTGGAGATAGTTCTTGAGTTGAACTCACTCACCTGCATCCTTAATTTCCTTTTTCTGTTGCAGTGTGTGGATTGGAATCTGGATTTTGCCCAAGCTAATGTTCTACCCTTGAACATTTCCAGCCCTTGGTTTTGTGAAACAGTATCTCACTAGGCAACCTAAACTGACCCTGAACTTAAGCTCTTCCTGCCTCTGCCCCCTGTGCTGGAATTACAGATGTGCACCACCATGCCCAGGGAGGAACTTTGTTTCAAGATTCACCCTTTCACCCGTCCATCCTAGTCAATCCATTCATCTATTACCTGCTCATCAGAACCCATTCACACTGTCTGTCCCTACACCTGCCTTTCCATCTGGTGGTTGGTGGAGCTGTGGCCCTATGCTGGGTGGACCCTCAGGTGAGAGCTGCCTGTCCATCAGTGGACAGGCCTGCACTGAGCAAAAGACTTGGCATAGCCGCCAGAAGGGTTCTAGTAAACACTTAGCTAAATAGCACTATCCAGGCCTAGAGTTTGGACATTTTCACCTCTCCCAAGCTGCTGGGAATACATGGCCAGCACTACAGTTTGAGAGGAACCCCTGAACCTTCCTCACTGCCTGCTTCCTCTGTGAATGAATTATTAATAACAGAGTAGTTTGGCCCTCCTTGGAGGCCACTGTACCCTCCGGTCCCCTGACCCAGGCTTCCTCATAAGCTGTGAGGGTTCCATACTTTGGAGGTGGGGAGTATGGCACTGTCTCCAGCTGTGCAAATTCACCTGAATTTTCTACCCAGATAACAACAGACGGGGAAACACGATGCATAAGGCATCACTTGTATGTAGAGATGAAACAACAGACTTTAAAGAAACCTACACTTGCAACAGGCTACTGGAGGATGAGTTTCTAGATCCCAGGAAAAGGCGATTCTGGGGAACCAGGAGAGAAACTGGCAGGAGAGGGTATCTCCCAGGGCAGTGTCTTGTCCCAGAGGACATAGATCACTTGCACCATCTGGTTTCACATGTGCAGCAGAGTGAGCCCTGCCTGATCACAGTCCTTCCTTATAGCAGGGGTCAGACCTGCACAGAAGAGGAGCCTACCCAAGCCTGACTTTCCTGAACTGGCAGAAACCAGAGAACATGGACCTCAAAGTAGAAGGCTGACTGAAGAGTCCTCCCACAAGATGTGCCCCCTGTCAAAACACACTACTAGGGTTAGAAAAATGCTCACTTGTTTGAGACACTAGGCATGAAAAAGGACAGTGTCTGCAAGCTCCTTCCCCAGATGGCATCATCCACCAGGTGGGGCCGAAGAACCCAGGACTCCAGGAAAGATGGAGTCAGAGCTATGCAAATTGCCCCCTGGTGTGACCTGTTCTGGCCACTCTGGTCAAAGGTCAAGATGCCTCTTTGCCTTGGTCCCTCACCACTGATACCCTTGTGCTTAGTAGCTGGTTTTCCCCACAGGACAATGGAAAGTGGGGATCACAAGTGTTTAGTCCTTGGTGAATTCTCACTAATGAGCCAGCATCCCTGGGGATGTGTCTGTGGACTACAAATCTCCCTCACAGAGAACTGTGGTTGCACACATCAGGGTCCTGTGCATGGCAGCACTGGCATATGACAAGGAGAGCTCTGCTTGTCCCCACCAGGTGTCCCTGCCCCAGGCAGCTTGGTGGGACCTCTCTCTCTACCTGTCTCCACACTGTGGGCTGGTGACCCTTTGAAGACTATCCGGACAAGGAATGTTTCCTTGCCCATGACCAGTAACCACTGGTATGGCTTCTCTCAGCCCCCAGCCTCCTCAGCTAAATGAGGATGAAGGTCCTGGGTATGGAGCTTATAAAAGCAAAATGTTTCTCAAATATGTCTAAATCCCACCTTATGACCTGCCCCTTCAGTAAGCTGAGTGACACTGAAGTGCAGGGTGGCTGGGGGCTAAGGTAGCTGCCAATCTTGGATGACACTGGGCTCCTCCAGGCAGAGTTTAGACTCTCACGCCTAACACTTGAACATACACTTCTGGCCTTCGGGAAAGCATTGCACCTAACTTTTCACAGCCTCTCTCTGCCAACCTGTGGCCCCTTGAAAGCAGAAAAGCCTGCTGAGCCATACATCCTAGCATGGTGCAGAAACAGAATGGTATGCAAGCCCACCACTAAGCAATGCCTGGGGAGCTGCCATGCCTCTTGATGGGGTTGCCCCTAAAGGGCTCTGCTCCCCCAGTCTCAGCGAGACCAGGCAGACCCCACAAGGCCTGGGTCTGAGCGACCTCCCTTCCTACCTTGTCCAGTCTCAGCCTGAGGCACCCTGTCACCACTGTCACTGCTGCCAAACACAAGGCTTACATTTCTGCTCTTCAGACCCACCATTTGTCTCGAAGCTACTGCCGTTGCTTAGAGCGAGATGCTTGTAGCTTGTGAGCTGTGTATAGGCAAATCTTTCATTTTCCTTTCATTATGCTGGCGTGTACTGTCACTTAATTTTTATGTATGCAATCCTGCCTGACAAATATGATCTGCTGCCTGGTAATTCGTCTGACGCTCATTCTGTTCCGAGCTCTAATTATGGTTCCTATCCCTGACACCGAGGCAGCCGCTCTGCCACCGCTGGGTACCACACCTGTCAGCCCGACCATGGCACTGACTAATGCCCTTTCATGCCAGCCTTCTGTTAGCAAATACAAGCATAAGGAGGGGCCAGGAGGGGAAGGCAGAGAATGGATTTGCATAAACATGGCTCGAGGTCAGCAGCTTTAGGAGATGAGGAGGCTGCCAGGACGATGTGGCTACTGGCCCAGCATCCCCACATAGTAGGTGCACATTAGATGCAGAGGTTGAATAATTAATAGCCATAAACAGAGTGAGAGGGATCCCTACATCTTTCCTGTGTCATAGTGTAATAGCAATTAGTTCTATTTCTTGCCCAACCAAACTTGTGTGCATTTGGGTGTGTACAGAACTGATGGTAGAAGGGTGCTTTCCTCTGGAACTTAGAGACTTTGCGTCCTGAGTTATAGGTCTGCACTGCCAACCTCCATGTCAGATTAGGTACAGAGGAAGGGTCTTGACTCCGAGAGTTGGTCCAGCAAGCTCAGACTAGTGGATCACCCTCAGCTCCATGATGCCTACTTGACTGTGGTACACTTTGGCCTGGAACAGGGATGGGTATGGGAAGGCATCTTGTACCCATCTTGCAGGGTCTGCTCAGGAGCCTCAGGAGGTGCCTAGCTTGTGGGGGCAGCCTCTTCCAAGTCCCAGTTCCTTCTCATTAATGTAATAAGTGCAGCAGTCCTAGTGGATAAAATCACATTGTCAGATGAGCCAGGGCTCTGCCATCTCTAACAAGGCGATCCTAACTAGCTCTGACTAGCCACTGCAGCCATCTTCTCCAAGACAGGACAGAGTAAGGCTTGGGCCTGACTGACAGACCTAGGAGGCAGTGCTTTTGCTGTTTGCTAACAGTTTCCCTCTGAGTTATGACCTTTTCCAAACTCTTTTTTTTTTTTTTCACTTGGAAAATGTTAGCATTTAATTAACCTCCCTGGGTGGTTCAAGCCACCAGGACACAAGCACCTCCAACACCCTTTATCTTCTCTTCAGCTCTTCTGCTGAAAAATTTGGCTTTCACGATGACAGGTTGCTTAGGGAGCTTCCTCTTCCCCAGAACTTTGTAGTAGCTCTATTGCACAACATCAATGATGGGAGCAGCTCCAGTCTTGTTCTTGGCAGCATTGACCTTAGTCTGCTCACTGACCAGTGTCCACAACTTATCCAGGTTGACTGTTGGGCAGAAGCTCTGGTTCCTCTTTAAGTGGTAATGCCTCATACCAACTTTCCCAAAGTAACCTGGATGGTATTTGTCGAAGTTGATCCTGTGGTGATGCATGCCTCCAGCATTCCCGCAGCCTCTTAGGTGCTTGCGGTGTTTACCAGTGTGACCGTGGCCATGGCTCACGTGGTCCCCGAGTTTCTGGGTCTTCCTCAGTCTGGATGGCATGGTGGCGGCAGAAAGGAAAGAGGGAGGAGCACGCAAAGTCCTTTTCCAAACTCTTAAGCCAAATGGTCATGGTATGTTATCAGGGGCCAAACACTTGCCCAAATACTTGCCTAGCATGTGGGAGGCACAAAAAAAAAAAAAAAAAAAAAAAAAAAAGGTACCATCCTAACTCTGTAAACAGGTCAGAGTGGCCTGGAGCCTCCTTCAGAAGGTGAGGCTTCCTTCTAGTCACAGAGTCGGTAGCCAAGGATCCCTGTTTGGACACTTCTGGCCCTGAAGAAGTAGGCACTGAGAAGGATACGCCAGCATTGTAGCCTTGGTTTTGATACCATGTAACCTTGAAATCACCCCAACTCCCTGAATTCCAGTTTCTAGGTCCTGTGGCCCCTGAATGCCAGTGGAAGTATAATAAATTGTCCTGATGTCTTTGGGGATGTTCCCTACATAGCATTTCCTTGGGGTCAGGGAATCAAAGGAGTCATGGGGAGAGGCCAGCCCAGGTATTCCCAGGCCAGGTGGAAGCCCATCCCTCATCACACTCCTGCAAGCTGCTGGCTCGTTTCTCCGTTTCTCGTTAGTGCATGCCTTGAGTCTAAGCCATCATGAGCTGAATGAACAGCGACAGTTTCCAGAGGGAAGTTCTCCACAGAACACCCATGCTGCCACCAGAAGCTGCTGTTGGCACGTGGCTAGCTGCAGGCACCCAGGTGTGGGAGATGGGAGACACATGGACTGGAGCTGCAGAGTGGTATGGAAATGAGTAGAACTGCAGACCAGACATGCTAGGAACTCACTAGGGGAGAATCAGGGAGATGCCTGCCTCTCGTGGATTCCTGGTACAGGACACCTGCTGGCTATGCTGGCTCCTATGAGCTAATTACAGGGAAGAAGGTCCACTTTTGTCACTCATGCTTCTTGTTCTTTCTTACACACCAGGTACACAGATCTGGAAGCTGACACAGCCACCCTCTCCAACTCCCAGTAGGGGCAACAAGGCCTGTATCTGTACCCAGCCACCAAAGTTCATGCATGGTTCCCCTAAATGAATATAGGTCCTTCCTGGCTCTCCTTCATTGCTTTTCCTCCACAGTCCAGCTGCCCAGACCCCAAGACTGACCAGTCTTACAAGCAGGTCCATCTGACAAGAGCACAGCAAGAGGACCACGATGCATGTAGATGCAGCTCATTCTATATGGCAGGGTCTGCTGGCCTTCCAGGAAGTACTCAAGATGTGACCTGGGGGTACAGGGAGACCCCTGTGATCCCTCTGGGCCTCGATTTCCTCTATTCTGAACCTATACCAAAGCAAGAGTGAACTCTAGGGACTCAAAAAACATCTTCCCACACAGGAGAATATCTGCCCTTCTAGCCAGGTCACCCAGGCCTACAGGGGCTACAGGGGACACAGGCCCCTTACCTAGTGAGTGGGCTGCAGTGGTCTCCGAGCTGAAGAAGCGGCCCAGGCCGAGGTCGCCGAGCTTCACAATGCCCGTAGCTGTGATGAACACGTTGGCGGGCTTGATGTCTGCAGGGCGAGGACATGGGGTTGGTGTGGGAGAGTAGGCTTAGAAGGGATAGGAGGCCACAGGCCTGAAAGTGACCACAAAGGACCTTTCAGTGATGGGTTAAATCGTCACTCAGGGCAAAGTCAACTCCCACATCAAAGCCCACAGGCAGGTCCCTTTCCCTGAGGCTTCCCTGCTTGCCACCCACAGGGTTCTTGGAACAGTTGCTCCCCAAGTCTCATTTTATCACCTATAACATGAGTCTATCTCCCCATCCTTCACAGGTTGGCTGTGAGTGGGGTGCAAAGCCCTCTATACTACTGTCTCCCAGTGCCAGAAGACTGTCAACTACACAGTCAGCAAGCTCTGTACCCCAGTGACTAGGCAGCACCTCACACACAGGTCCTAAATAGGTAAAGGGAGAAATGGAGACATCAGTCTGGATACCTTCCCAGCAGGCTTCACACCTGTGGGTGTCTCTCAGAAGCATTCACTGGTGTCTGACCTCACTTTCTGGTGTGGGATGGGGGTGAAGTTTGGTTAGCCAACTCCTACTAAGGTGTCAAAGCCCACTAGAAACTTCCTTCCTCTGGGTAAAACTGGCCTCAGTACCAGAACTGGTCACATCTGGGATGAGTGCAGGCAGAGTGCTGAGGTGGCCCTTGTTCCCTGAAGCTTACATGATGACTACTGGCATCAGGCAAGTCCCTTGCCCTCACAGGTGCTTCCTGACATGGAACAGATGTGAAGGCAGCTGTTGGGTATCCTGCATGGGGAACACTAAACTGCCTAAGTCATTCTCAGGGCAGCTCCTGGGGTGCTTGGAGATCTCAGGCCTGGGGCCCTGGGCCCCATGGGGCACACACCTCGGTGCATCACACGTCGGGAATGCATGTGCTCCACAGCGCTGCACAGCTGCACAAAGTACTTCCACACAGTCCTCTCAGGAATAAGCCGCTTCTGCTTCTTGAAGTACTGTGGGGGACAGACAGACAGGCCTGGATGAGAATGATGCTTCCAGGAGGGATGACATAGTGGTGGAGGCTGAGCAAACGAGGAGGTTAGAATGCTGTATCCACACCTCTCTTTAGCCTCGATGAACTGAGGTTTGCAGCCTGGCCCAGAGGGATCCTGGAAAAGGGACACTCAACTTCAGCTTTGGCCTGGTGTGGGAGGAAGGCAGCCAAGCCATGCCTGAGAGGCATCTCAGAGCCAGCAAGTCCCAGAGTCGTGACTGTTAAAGGCATAGACTCCAAGGAGATTGGCTTATCTTTCTCAAGCAGTCCCTTGGTTTCAGTGGGCATTAATCTCCCTCCTTGCCTAATGTCCTCATTAGAGTGTCTATTGCTGTAATGAAACACCATGACCAAAACAACTTCGGGAGGAAAGGGTTTATTTTATCTACTACTACCATACCAGTCAGGACAGGAACTCAAACAGGGCAGGAACCTGGAGGCAGGAGCTGATGCAGAGACCATAGAGGGGTGCTGCTTATTGGCTTGCTCCTCATGGCTTGCTCAGCTTGCTTGCTTAGCTTGCTTGCTTAGCTTGAGAACCCAGGACCACCTAAAATGGGCTAGGCCCTCCATCAGTCACTAACTAAGAAAATGCACTACAGGCCTGCCCACAGCCAGTTCTTATGGAGGCATTTTCTCAACTGAGGTTCCCTCCTCTCAGATTACTTTAGCCTATGTCAAGTTGACATAAAATTAGCCAGGACCTAGTAAACCATATTCAGGAAAAAAAAAAAAAGAAAGAAAGAAAAAAGACAAAAAACAACTCCCCCAGAAGCACTGAGGAGAGAGAACTGAAACAGAAGGTTCTGGAAGGACAATGCAGGAACACATCCTAAGGCACAGCTGAGGTAACAGCTGTGTGTGTTGGGGTACCTGAGCTCCTAAGCACCAGGCCTGTGTAGGGCAATGACTGGTCCCTAGTTACCTGGTCACCAAGCTTTGGTTCTAGTGGCAAGTGGCAGCACTGTGGCCTATTGCCAAGCAAATACTCTGGTGTAGGAATCCAGAAACTACCAGAGTGCCTGCCCCACCTGTAGAGGGAACAGGAGTGGAGAGAAGGCCCGCTGGGCACAGACCATGGTGAGTCATGCAGCTGGGCCCTCAGCAAGAAGCATGAAGGCACTGAGGGCTACAAAGTGGAGGTCAGTTAGACTGAGTCCTTTACCACATCTAATGATGTTGGGAACCTATGAGAGGGACCAGGTCTGTCCAGAGAGACAAAGCAGCAGGTGCAGTGAGCTGGGATCCAGAGCTGGGCACCTCCAGATGCAAGGCTGTGACAGTGGCTGGCTCTCCAGAGGCTCTTCTAGGAGGAGCCAGAGGGCTAGCTGTCCTGGTGTCCCAGAAGACTTCTGCTTCAGGCCACCTCTAGGCCTCTGTGGCAGGCTGGGCGGGCTGTTATTTACACCATTATGTTCTTTGGTCCTCATTATAGTGTTTATGTGGGGACGTGTGCAGTTGAGGGTGGTGATTTTCTAAATGTCACATTCTATAAGTGCCAACTGACATTTTGTAGGAAGGCACAGAGTCTCTGGTGGGTTTCAGACAGTGGCAGCTTCGGGCTTCACCAGCCCTATAAATAACGCCAGCACCATGGTTGACTGGCCCCTGAGGCTGTAAGCCTTCAGGACACAGCCTCCCCCCACCCCTGCAAACCAGTGACCTCTAAGGCCAGTGGGAACACTGTGTGGTATGACCCAAGCTTGGGGTTGGCTGCAAAGGCTGGGTTTCTCTGGATACCCAGAGAAGTCTGAGTGGGAAAGGGTATGGCATCAGATCTTATAAGGCACAACACAGTGTGTTGGGTCAGAGAAAACTGAGCATGGGGCCTGCTAAGCCACCCCAGGCATGTCCAGCTAGGGCAGTGCCCCAATTCCCCTTCTGGCTTGAGCTGCCACAGTCCTAGCCCTGCCTATAAGGAAGCCTGTGTAGTCAGCGGTTGCAGGCATGGAGGAGAGGCTTTCACTAGGGAGGGAAGCCAGGCAGGAACAGCCTCCACATTACCTAGTCAGCTTTTTCTGGACCCCAAGTCCATCTCCTTTAGAACCTACAGTCCTTTCTCAGAATCTTCTCCCAAAATGTCACTGGGAAAGGGTAGACACTGGAGCTCAGCCCCCAGCCAAGTGCTTTCTGCTTCAGGTCCAGATTAAGAGGCCACAGGGGACTCTTAGGTCCATATGTGGAGAGCAGAGAGGGGCCCCAGCTCTTTGCTCCTCCTGTTCCATTTCCACCCAACCCTCTGCTTGCCACTCAGTTTTCCAAACACAAGGCTCATTGTATCTCCTTCCTAGGAAGCTCCTATGAACTGGGCGGCAGTACCCAATCCTGAGCCTAAACTGAGAAGCTCACCATGACTTGACCACACCATTGCCGTCTAACCTGGTGTCCCGTGTTGGCCCACAGTGCATCTCACCGTCTCACTACCTGGAGTACTTGTCTAGCTCTTCCCACTACTATACACCCTGTTCTGGGGTCAACTCAGCTCAGGGGACCACCTCTTCCAGTAAGCCTTGCCCCGTCCACAGACCCTACCCTGGCTCACTCTAGAGTCTGCCTTTCTGGTAGAATTCAAGCTCCTGGGGGCACCATCAGCAATGGTGGAACCCTGAGGTGTTGGTGGGGGCTGGCACATGGCAAGATGTTGGAGAGCTGTATGTATAGGGGGGATGGCAAGTGAATGAGAAATGAGTGAAGGAACCTAAGACGTGATGTATCACGTCTATTCCCACCAGGGATCTGCGTGGAGATTAATGCCCTGTAAATGCATTAATATGTCAACGGAAATATAAAAGCAGGTGATAACGGCTCAGTAATGCCGTTTCCCAACGACACCATATTCCTAGGGGCCAAATTTCTGAAGAGCAACTAACAAACAATTGCTCAGTCCCCGGTGCCTGCTGGGAAGATAGAATCTGTGTCTGTTCATATCCACACACAGTGAAAGCCCAGTATGGGGCTTGAGGATGGCCTGGCTTCACTCAGGACAGACTAGGTTCAGGGAAGGTAGGTAATGGGGGTCCATTATAGGGGCTGGAGATGGGGACCCATGCCATCAGGGACATGAGGGTCTCAAGAAAGAAACAAGGATCAGAGGTCATGGGTTAGGGCTGTGTTGCCTTTGACTTGAGACTAAACTTCTCTGAGCTTTGCTGAGGACACCATAGGCTCAGTGACTTAACATGTCTGTGGCTGATGGTGGCACTCTCTCAGAGGAACCACCATGTCCCTGAAACCAAAACCACTTGTGAGTCCTGAGAGGGGAACAAAATAGTTTATGGAATATCAAAGAACATGGCCCTGAGCTTTACAGGCTCACAGTTGCTCAGGCTCTCACAGGTCAGGCATGGAATCCTCATTATGTAGTAATGAATACACCTGTCCAAAGGCTGGGTTGTGGAGACAACAACCTCTGACCAATTCCAGGCCAGGTACACAGTCTGAGTTCCCACATAGTATTCTCAGACAAGCCAACATTTCTGGGCTTCATTTTCCCCTACTATAGAACCGTGGCAGCTGGAGCCATAGGACATGTCACTTAAAGATTCTATGGGGCCACTGCACATTTTGAATTACGAATCTATGGTTCCGTTCAGCTGGGGTTGAAAAATTGGCTGTGATTAACAAGAGACTGAGCCACTAAAGTGAAACCTCTGCTTTGCTGGACTAATGGATGCTGTTTGACTGGAGAGGTAAAATCTTCTGGGACATGTTTTCTGAGTCAGCACACAGGAGCTGTGTTCAGAGGTGGCCAGTTGTACCCTGTACTGGCAGCTGAACTTGGTAGTGTAAAAATCACTGGGGGGGGGGAGGGTTGAAGAAACTCAGGGGACATGGAGAGCAACTGATGCTTGGCACTGTGAGAGTCCAGGAGAGGCTACTGGTGAAAGTGCCACCCATCTGCAGCAGAAGACTCCAGGGTTTGAGATGCCAGTGCCACACCGAGAACAGCAGCAGCAGTGGACTGGAGCCAGCCTGAGCTTGGAAGGCAAGCTGTCTGTGTAGCAGAGGACTGAGCTGGAGAAGTAACCCAAGCCCTTTGAAAGAACCCAGAAGATCGTGAGTGGACACTGCACTATTTATTCAGCTGGAGTTTGTTTTTGCTTTGTTCACATTGTCACTGTGTCCTACTCTTCCCCCCTAAAGTAAGGAAATATTTAACTTATTTTTTATTTTATAGGACCCCACAGCTGAAAGACTTGGAACTTTTAAAGAGACTTGGAATTTTTAAAGGGCCTGAATTTTAATGTGTTTGAATTTGTAGAGTACTGTGGGACTTTTTTAAGTTTGTGAAATGTTTTATATTGTGATGTTGATATTAGTGTGTGATCTTGGGAAAAGACAAGAAAGGGAAGGTTGTGGCTCAACAGTGATGTGCTTGTGTGTCAAGCTGATAAGGGTCAATTGTGCTGACTAGTTTTATGGCAACTTGATACAATCTATAGTCATCTGAGAGGAGGGAGCCTCATTTAAGAAATGCCTCCATAAAATCAGACTGCAGGATTTTCTTAATTAGTGATTGATGGGGAAGGTCTAGCCATGTGTGGATGGTGCTATCCTCTAGGCAGGTGGTCTTGGGTTCTATAAGAAAGCAGTCTGAGTAAGTCAGAGGAGCAAGCCAGTAAGCAGCACCCTCCAGAGCCTCTGCATCAGCTCCTGCCTCCAGTTCCTGCTCTGTTTGAGTTGCTGTCCTGGCTTCTTTCAATGGGGAGATGTAAGCCAAATAAACCCTTTACCTCCCCAAGTTGCTTTAGTCATGGTGTTTCATCACAGCAATAGTAACTTAAGACAGAAATTGGAGTCTGATCTTTAAAAGTTCCTGTTCCTCTTGAAAAGAAAAGTGTCCCCATGTGCTCTGAACTAGAGCAGTGTGGGTGGTCCAAAGGGCCCTTACCCAGTCACCATCCTGTCTAGGTATCAGTCTACCTTGCTTTGTGTGTCCCACTGAGCCTGACAGCACATAGGAGGTCAGAGCCAGGCCAAGGCTGTTGCTGGAAAATGGAAGAGGTTGAGAGGAGGGTGCTCTGACCTTGATCATCTGTGAGAGGTCACCTGCATCAGCCAACTCCAGAACAATGTTCAGCTCGTTGTCTTCGATGAATGAGTCCAGATATTTGATGATGTTTGGATGGTTCAGTTGCTGTACCAGAAATGGGGTGGGTGGGTGGGTCACACCAGTGATGAGTGGCATGTGTCTGCACTGCACATATACCCCTGAGACCCCTCCAGTGCAGCATCAGGCCAGCCTCTGCCCAGGCTCAGCTCATGGGTTGACAGAAATACTGCTCAATGTCTCAGCCATCCCTTGGAAACCTAAGAATCCTTCCTACCCTAAGAACCCTTAACTTACTCTCCCAATGTAGGTTCCTGCCTCCGGTCTCCATGCTGAGAAAGTGAGTGGAGGCCAGGCAGGGTGGTAAAAATCAGTTAGTGCAACCTCACAGAGAGGACCCTGGTGGTGACACTATACCTACATGGCTACTGGATCTGGGGAAGCAAGAAAAGACTACCAACACTGCTACAACATGGTTGACACTGTTCATCTATCAGTGGACATCCAGGGTCTGACTGATAGCATGTTTACTGAGAAGCCTTTGAGCCAAGCTGGCCTGGGCCAGAAGGAAAGGCTGCTCTCAAGCCTAATGAGAATTCCTGAGGGCAGGGGTCTAAGTGGATATGGCTTGTGCAAAGGCCTATGGTAGGAGGACATAGTACATCCCAGGGGCTGAACAGGAGCTGAATAGAGGACAGAGTGGCTGATGAATGAGTAAGGCAGGTGGTACTAGGAGCATAGGGGAGTGGGCATGGGGAAACGTGGCAGTAGAGACCTGGATGCCCTGGAGCTATGAAAACACTGAACTGGTCAGACTTGATTAGACCCTGGGTTATTTACTTATCAGTATTGATCTGTCAGCACATATATGCATAAGACCTTTGTCAATGAGGTGATGAGGTTGCTGGTGGTATCTCCCTGCTGTGACTTGCATTTTCATCTCTGTATGGTGGCCATGACAGACATAGATGATTCTGGCCTTCTTTTGTGGCTAATGCCCTTGGTATCTGGGGACAACTCTGTGTGTTCCAGCTAAGATCCGTCCCTGTAGTTTTCTCTTATAAACTTTTGATTATAGCCTTAGCTTGTGTTTTGTTCATTCCTTGGGGAGCTCACTCTGTACATCAGCCCAGACTGGCCTGGTATTCACTACATAGCCCAGGCTGGCCTTTAACTCCAGGTGATTCTTCTGCCTTAGCCTCTCTGTGTTGCAGGGTATATAATTACAGGTGGGTAACACCATACCTGGCTTAGCTTTAACTTTCTAATCTGCTCACAGACTACAGAATGTTCCTCAATTTGATCTTTCATTTTATTTTCAGACTAATCCATTTCACAGTCATGTGTGTGGTGTGAGGCAGGGGTTACAGCTTGTTCTTTCTCGTCAGTATGTCCATTTCCCCAGGACCCTGTCCCAACTCTCGTCTGTCTACTGAATTGTTTTGTGATTGTTTTGAGAAGGTTGTTGGGAACTAACAGGAGCTTTGGTTGCCATCAGAGAACATTACAATTTCTGTTCATCAGGAAGGAGGCGGGGACAACTGCAAACATACCTAATGTTCCATGTGTGCTATACTGATAGGCCCAAGGTGTTTGATCCATAGAAACCTAGAGAGCTGGCCCAACCAAGATTGGCCTGATCCAGGCCACTCACCTTTAGAAGACCAATTTCCTTGACACAGTCCTGCCTGGCTTTGGCATCCATCATCTCAAAGATCTAGGGCAAGAGGAAGCCAGAAATGGAACAGTTAAAACCAGTGCCCACACACTGGGTTCAAGCCCCTACTCATCCTGCTCATTATTAAGGACACCACAAGAATCAGAGTCCCAACTCTCAGCAACAGCCAAGTCAGAGGCCATGTTACCAGGTTCACTTGGGTTCCATGATGCCTATGGGGCAGGAGTTACTGTATCCACCTCACAGAGCAGAAACTGAGGACCACAGTCTCCAGAGCCTTGCTGAAGTCACACCCTGATAAGTGGCATGTCACTCCTTCAACAGGGACTTGAACCTTAAGACTTGTAGGGATAGACCAAAGGCAGCCATTGACAGTATGCCAGCACCAGCAGTCATTATGCAAAAAGAAGTCAGATGGCCAGAACTCCCTCTGAGAAGAAAAGAGCAGACAGTTTCTCAACTGCAGGAGCCTGGTGTCCTAGAGCCCTGGAGAGAATGTGAGGGTCACAGGTCAATGCTGCTACTATGCAGTTAGTGTCTTCCCATTCTCTCCCACTGATGCCTGGCTGAGTGGCCCTCCCTATCCAGGGACTCTTGGCCCCAAGGTGCTCACCTTTCTCTGCAGGAGAACCAGCAGAATGAAACATCCTGTGGGGAGGATCCCAGGCACATGCTGTATGCTTCCCAGCCCAATCTTGCTGCTATATCCCTTCCCTCCTTTAGAAGGGTCATGGAGGGCAGGTTGGACATCGAGCCAGAGACTGATGGGGCAGAGAGTATCTTGCTTTCCCCTAAACTCCCTCTGGTCTATAGAGTTAGTGGGTTGCTACTATTTTCCCACATCAAAAACAAACAAACAAACAAACAAAAAAACAAAAACATAATCCCAGCCTACAGGGCTACTGTCAGGGTCCCATGTCTGGGCACATCCCTGTATACAGTAGGTACAAAATGTTGCATACTTTCCCTTTTTGTTTTATATGGGGCTAAACTTGAGTACCCTGGGAGGTAAGGTCACAGTGAATGTAAGGATTCAGGCATTATGCTGGGCTGCCCCTGTCACCTGGCAGAATGCACTCAGGTAGTATCCTGGTCAGCCCAGGGTTCCATGGTTTTGTAGTCTGCATGCAGGTGCAAAAGACCCCTTTAAAAGACAGACCCTGCTTTCTGTCTCTATGACTCTTTACCTCTGTTCTCTTTCCTTCCCCCTTCCTCCCCTTTCTAATAATCTTCTCACTTAAGCTCTGTCTGCCTGGCATGTCTGTCCTTCTGCCTCTGTCACCCTCGCCTGCCATGGAATCCACCAAGGTCCCCTTGTGTTTTATCCTAACAGTAAAGCCACTTGGACTTGTGGCCCTGAACTCACCTGTACCTTCTTCAGAGCCACTGTCTTCCTGTCTAGCAGGCAGGTAGCCTTGTAAACCTCACTGAACTGTCCTCGGCCAATCTTCTTCTCAATCTGGAAGTCCGCCAGTGAGCAGCGAAAAGATAGGGTGTTGGGGTGTCTCTGTAGGAGACAGAAGCATGGGTGATCAGCTAGGTGAAGCAGAAAGCCTGGGACTAGATGGCTGGGGCCTCAGTACCCCAATAGTACCTTCTAAGCAAAGAAGGGACTTCACTCGACACCCCTGAATAATGGGTCTGCTAAGTAAAGTGTATGACAAATGTCAGAGCAAGAAGGGAAGAATATACTTCTAGTCTCACTCCAGGCTCACCAGAACCACAGGTCAGCCACCATCAGCTAGGACAGCCAGCCATTCCTCACCAGGAAGGAGAAGCAAGCACAGATGTGTAGCTTACAACTGAGCTTCTTTGGACAACCTGCACCCATCACAGTGACACAAAGAAACCAGACTTATGGAGACTGCAGAGCTAACACTAAAAGCCACGATGGAACAGAGGGACTGGGTCAAGAAGACTATGGATGCCAGCCCTCTCTCACGCTATCTCCTTCCCTCTGAAAGGTCACTGCTGGGCAGACCTTGACTCTGAAATCTAGAGGCATCCATGGAAAGTGGTTGGGAGATCCCTGCCTATTGACTTGAACATGAGGAAGATGATTCAGTTGGGACATCTCTGAAGGAACTGTGGTACTGTACCTACTCACCAAGTGGCCACTTAAGAGGACCAGCTTCCCCAAGCACTATACATGTCAGACATGGTGCAGCTACCACCTCAATGTCAACTTACTAGACCTTCAGAGAGATCCCGAGTGGGGTCCTAGTGCTTCTCCAGTGCTGAAAAGTGAGGACAGGTGGGTGCAGCAGGGCCAGCTCCTACTTTCTGTTTTTCCTTCAAGGCCCCAGTAGGAGTGAGCCTGCATTGCCAGCTGCAGGAGCACAGCTAAAGTCATACTTAGAAAGAACCAAGGTGGCTCTTAGGGATAGAAGTATCTGCAGAGGTGACAAAGTGCTGTTGCATATTAGGTATCTACTCTGTGCTACTTGGGGGCTGCTTTGAACTCCTCCTGAGAATTCAAGGAAGGACTCTTCCTATAGACACAGGCCTGGCTAGTAGAACAGATTCCTTGTTGGATCTTGGGCTGTGCTGCTTGAGGTCCTGTGGTGATGCCCTCCTCTCTTGGGCCTCAGCATTCCCCAGGAACAGTGAAGGATAGAGAAGGGTGAGCACCAAGGCTACTTGCCCTGTGAACACCAGCCTTCTCACTAGAATGGGTGGGCAGACTGTTGGCTGAAGGCCCCAGTGACACCCTGCCTAGCCAGGGAGGCCACATTGCCCAATTCAGCTGTGGCTCCAAAGCCTAATGGATGTGAGGTGGTAGTTTTGGGGGAATGGTGGATGAAAACCACATTGAGGCTGAAGTTCTAGTTCACATCTGCATATGAATGACCCAGATTTGTATTTCCTGTTGCAACCCATTCACCCTAGTTAAAGAAGTGATTTACTGTAGTGAACCTTGGGTGGTGCTGTGCACTGGGGGCATGTCCTGTCCACTGGGGTGGGAGACTGCCAGCAAATTGTTAAGCAGGGTGCTCCTGTGGTAGCCTCTGCTTAGGTGTGGGACATTTCTTGAGCATCAGAGTTCCGACCCTGATTTAATTCGGGGGTGGGGGTAGAGGCAGAGTCTGCTCACTCTCTGGGCTAGGTCTGTATTGCTCTGCCTTGCCAGGCCTGTTTCTCAACCCAGGGTACCCTGGGCATGGTCCAGTTTGCCAAGCACCTGAGTGACTCCGAGCCTGCTATCCATTCACTAGGACTGCATACTGTAGGCTGCTGGTAGGGATGACACAATGGGAAGTCATTCCTGGCTCCTTAGAGCAGGGATGGCCCTCGGTTCTTCCTCAAAGGCAGAGGAACAGCCAGGGTCCAGGGCTATGAGGAGGCAGGCTGAAGATCCTGCAACAACTCCCACTCCTCCACAGCTGCCTAGCAGAGAAGGCCTGAGCTGCAGAGGGAGGATGGTGTACATCAGGAGGAGGAAGAGAATGGAGCAGCCAGCCTCTGAGAGCCTGACCACAGACAACAGGAGTGGCCTGGTATCAAGAAGACAGCTGAGGTCCATGGCAACTGTCCCCAGCTGCATCCTTCCTTGAAATGTCACTAGTTTTCTGAAGCCCAGGCAGGATAGATAGGGGACAATGGGAGAGGATTCCCCTAGGACTCTCATCCTATTCCAGAAAGCCCAGAGAAGTCAGGCTTTTTCTCCTAAGTCAGATCAAATTGGGCCACAAGTACCCCTACCCCCACCCCTTTGCTAATTTGAGTTTAAAATGTTTGAACCATAATACGCTTTGGCCATCGAAAAACCCTTCTTTCGTTATGCTTGCTCCCTAAACAGGAGCATAAAATTACATGTTAGAAGGATAAAAATGCATTCACCCAATTAATTTTTTGAAATCTCATTAAAAAATTTAGCCTGACTGAGTCAGACTTCTGACCCGAATTTTAATCATCTTTACACTGGATGAGCCTCTTCTCCCTCATCTGGTGATGCATCATTAATTTTAAGGCAACTGTTTCTATGATTTTAAAAAGCACACTTCATCAGCATGACATTTCCTGTAAATGAATTTCACCTTTAAAGATATCTGACACCATGTGTATAGGGAACTTACAGGGGACTGGGTTTCTATAAAGCAAAATGTTTTAAATATGCATTGCATAAAAGGGCTCAACTTACAAAGAGTCCACATTGTCAGACATTGTGAGGCCAACCTTGCTCAACAGAGTGCAAAGCTAAAAATGAAGGTATTCTTGCTACCTCAGAGCACTGGCTACTTATCTTCTGAGGCAGAAGGACTCAGTGATCACACTGTTAGCATAATTCGTCACTGCCATCATCCCAGAAGTCTACTACAGGCTTCATGGGCCATTGGTTCAGAGAATTGCTTGTAGCATAGAGATATTATGACAGGCACTAAACAAACTGCAGTAAACCAGTACCGCCTCCACAGGATGATCCTGGTACCTAGAGTTGAGAGCTGCCAGCTGAGAGCACTGCTGGGCAAAGACTGGAAGGTGAACACTGGGGGTCCTCCTCCACTACCACCCCAGCACAGCTGGCACTTCCCTGTGCACATCAGCCTGCCCCAATTCTACCCTTTGTAAGTCTCAGGCCTCCACCCTAAGGGATCTTTACAAAACCCACATTAGGTTCCTCCTTAACTCAAGTGACCAAGCACCAGTTCTTTGCTCTTGGCTGAAGAGGTAGAGGTATGTGTGTGAGTGTGTGTGTGTGTACATGTGTGCGTGCATGCATGTGTGTGTGTGTGTGTATGTGTGTACATGCGTATGTCCACTGTCTTCTTCAATCATTCTCCACTTTACTTTTGAGACAGGGTCTCTCACCGAAGCCAGAGCTCACCAGATTCAGCTAGACTGGACAATGGGTGAACCCCAGAGGCTCATATGGCCCCACTTTCCTGGTGCTGAGTTATAGAAGTTACCACTGTGTACAGCATGGCAAGCACTCTAATGACTGAGCTATTTTCTCAGCTCTTTGAGTTTCAATAGCCATTAATATTTGCTCATTAAACTTTGCCATCCACCATCACTTCTTTTTTGTTTTGTTTGATTTGGGTTTTTTTTTTTTTTTTTTTTTTTTTTTTTTTGAGACAAGGTTCTTCGTGTATCCCTAGCTGTCCTGGAATGTGCACTGTAGACCAGGCTGGCTTTGAACTCACAGAGATCCTCCTGTCTCTGCTTCTCAAGTGCTTCCATCATCAGCTCTTTGGGAAGGTTTGCATATAGATTTGGTCTATGAAACACACCCATGGATAGCTGCCTCCAGGTCCCTGCAAAGTATGCACATGACTCCAAATAGAACTGATCTCAGATTGCCCATAGGAGGTTTCTGAAGACCTGTCAGCAGGAGCTTCTCACACAAGAAACTCTCCCGTCTACACAATCTGCATCATTCTTGACTCTTATATAATCAATCACCAGAATCCTAGGTAAAGCCCAGCTTTCCTCTGTGTATGTGAACCTCACAGGTCAACGACATGGTTCAGCAAACAGATTTCCATACACTGATGGCTCTTTCAGCTACCGTAAAGCCACTGGCTTTGTGCCTAGAAGACTAACAAAGCCATAGGTGGACTGTTAGGAGTATCTGACCTTTCTGCCTCAAGAGGGTAGATTTAACTGTGGGAGCTTTGGCTTTGAAAACGGCAATAACTTTTCAATTATAAAAATGAAGTCTACACATGGCATTTCCTTGACATCCATGGTGTTGGGTGTTATGCTAGAGTTTAAAGCATATCACATCATTCACAGAAGTCTCAGGATAAAGGTGCCATTATCACCCTACAGATGAAGAAACTGAGGCTGAAAGGCTTTGTACCCAACCTCAGAGCAGGCAGAGCCTCATTCTGGGTTCTAATGATGGCCTGATAGGACACATTCCTCCTGCCATAAAGGGACATAACTTCACTGTCCATTCTAAATGTTTTAGTATGCTGACATGTGAGAGGCTTGGCTGCCATGCTCCCTAGATGGGGTAGAAACATAGTCACTTTGTGAGAGAGGTTGGCCGTCCTCTAACCTTGTCCCAGCTTGGAGTTTGCACAGCATGCTAGACCATGTACCCCAAGTCTTCAAGATTGGCCAGATGCAGGTGGGACTGGGGCATCTCTGCCTGATAGCCACTGCCCAGATCAGCCAACCCTGAGTGATTGAATCTAATTATATTTAACTATGTCATCACCCACTCCAACATGCGCGACAAGCTGCCGAGGACACTGTCACTGCTGCCTCCTCATTTCTCCTCACTTGAGAAATAATTACAGGCCTCTCTTCTCTGCCAAATGAGCCTGTAATTAACCCTAATTGCTCAAAATGCAACTGGCTAATTCTGGGAGATTAATCAAGGGGAATTCGATTGTTAGTGAATGACATAATGTGACAAATGGCTACATTACCTAAGTAGGCCCTGCTGCCCCCAGCCATCATCCTCATGTCCTGGCCTAGCTCTGGAGTTGTACCTCCCAAAATTCTACCTGGAAAAGGACTATTACATCTCAGCCAACAATGGACACAGAGTACAAATAGCATAAATGTCCTAGGACTGTCCACATACTTGCAAACAGTCCATGAGCTCATGTGGCATGTTTTTCTGGGTCTGCAGTAGGATCCTCTCTTGGGCTGACAAAGCCCTATGCCATAGATCATAACATAATAAGACTGCAAACACAAATTTAAAGCCCACTTACCTCCATGAGTCTGTGGTGTTTATAATTTACACAGTGGGTAGACCCTTTAGTCCTCCACAAGGAACTAGGATATTAGAAGTTTTCCATCGACTCTCCCTCTGATTTAGGTCTCTTGGCCTTTTGGTAAAAAGCTGACCCTGCCCACAGGGTCCTAAAGAATCTGGCCCAGGCACCAAGCTTATTGCCCTGCAGGCCATGGCCTGTCCCTTCCTTACAGAGGACTGTCTGGCCCTCTCAGTTGCATCAGGTGTTTTGCTCTGGCTCTGGAATCCTGGGGTTCCTCCAGTTTGGTATTTTTATGTTTCTATCCTTGGAGGCTATGTGCTTCCTGAGAGCTGACCTGGGCCTGCCTCACATAATTACATCCTAGGCAGTGCACTGCACATACAGGATGCATTTTTTTTTAAAGATATAGATGTATTTCTCTGACATGGTGGCACAAAGAATGCCTTTGTGCATTGGGCTAGAGACATCTTCCATCTAGTAGGAAGACTGCTGCAGGAATGAACATCCCAAGGCCATAGCCATGTGAGGGCATGCACACAGGTATGGGGGAACTCATGTGTTGGAGGAACACATGTAGATATGGGTCAAGGGCAGGAAATCTCCTCAGAGAGCAGTACCTGGCCTTGTGGTTTGGAGGAAGACTCAGGAGGACATTCTAGGTCAGGGGACAGATTGGGCAAAGGCACTAAGTGTACCTGACACTCAAAGCCACTTTTAGAGCAGTACCAAAGGCTGCTTGTCCCTCAGAGACATCTAAAGCCAGGATGAGGCGAGCATAGGGAGACAACCTCTAAGCCTCTTATGACTAAGGACAGCTGAACACAATTCAGACCAAATCAGAGGCTGACAGTGGCCCAGGAACAGAGCTTTCTGTTCACTCCTGAGTCCCTCCTCTCCTTGCACAGACCTGCAGACATGGAGCTGCTCCTCAATGGAAATCTTTGACTTAAGCACAGGGCTTAAGTACCTGGAAGCATTCAAGGAAATGCTCTGTATGGACAGCTATGCAGCTTCCTATAGGGAGGGAGGGGTTCGGTGAGGGACCCTCAATGTGCCTGGGAGACAAAAGAATGGGCTTACCTGTGGGTCTGGAGGGGGCACAGGTCCCAGTGCATGGCAGAGGTTGTTTGGACTCCCTCCACGGGGCATGTGGCTGGGCTGTCCTGCCATCCTGCATGCCAGCCTCACAAGGTCACAGGCTGTAACAGAAAATAAGGGCTGGTGACTTTCTCCTCCTGGCCACTTGTTCCATTTTATAGATGGATGAGCAGACAGCACATACATCACTCTCCTCACAAGTCTAGGACTCAACCCCTCAGGATACCTTCTCTCTATAATATACTGCCTCAGTTGCTAGGACTGTCCTTTGGAAGGGGGAAACCGAGTTACTCTACAGGGATAAGAGAACTGTCCACTACAGGCCCACCAGGAGCCCTGTATTACTTACTTTCCTGTGGTTGTGATAAAATGCCATGACCAAAAGCAACTTAGGAATAAAGTTTATTTTGGCTTACAATTCACATGGTTAGAGTCCATAATGGCAGGGACAATGTGGCAGCAGGTATGGCAGCCAGGACAGGGAGCTAAGCACTTACATCCACAGCATGAAACAGAGAGTGAATTGGAACTAGGTTGAGGCTATATAATTTCAAAGTCCACCTCCAGTGACATATTTCCTCCAGCAAGGATATACTTCCTAAACCTCTCCAACAGCAGAACCAACTTGGAACCAAGTGTCCAAATACCTGAGCCTACTGGAGACATTTCCCATTCAAACCACCATGAGATCCCACATTCAACCCACACACTACCAAACACTGAAGCCTAATTTTTTTCTACACACTTTCAGTCTGTTTTGCTGTTCCCAACATCACCACAGAAAGCGAAGTAGGCAGCCTGAGTGACCAGGAAACAGAACAAAACCAGACTCTGGCAGCATCTTCAGGGATGATCTCACATCCCCATCCCTGCTGGACCCCAGTGTAACACTGGAGGGCCCATGTTCTGTGTGGACCTCCAACAGGGTAGCTCTCCTGTCCAGTGCTGACCTGATAATGGTCCCACTATGTACCTAGTCCTGAGCAAAAGGCCACTGACTGTATCCCCTATTATTACTTCTACTTCAGGTATTAGAGGCAGCTTCTGGCTTTCCCAACATTCAAACCTCTCTGGGGCAAAGATCAAGGTGGACGTGCATGGAAGTTTTCTGGCTGGAGAAGGATCTGTACTCAACCCCATGATCCTTTTGTGTGGGAAAGTCTGCATGCACCCCCCACAGTAAGTCTTTAACATCCTCTATGTGCTAGGCCTGGGCTCAGGGTCCCACAAGACACATACAGAGGCATCAGTGTAGCTCAGGCAGTAAGAGCCCCATAGTATCCACAGACCCACCCTTTGTGTCCCAATCCTAGTGTGAACTCCAGGTGTCCTGACCCAGGCTACTGAGCAGCTGTAGGATAGTCCCCAGGGAGCCAGAAGCCCCTATGAATCATGGATAACCTTCCTAACATCTCCAGGGAATGAGCACACAAGCTGGTTTGTCCTGTCTCATGTAATTCACACTGTAGGGCCCTAGCTAAGAGATTGTTTGCATCAGCCCATTTCCTGTTACTATGCCAAAAATGCCTGAGTCTGGACAACTTTATAAAGAAAAGTTTTCCTGAGCTCACAGTGTTAGAGATCCAAGAGCTTGAAGCCAGTGTCAGATCAGCACTGGCAGGAAACTTGGTAGTTCACATTACAATGGCAGGGACTCCTGTGAAAAGGGTAGATCACATGGCCAGACAGGAGGCCAAACAGTCATTCATTCAGGGGTCAGACTTGAGCTTTTATAACAATTTAATCCTTCCTGGAGGCAGTGCCCCATGACCTAATGACCTCCCACTGAACTTTACTACTTAAAGATCCTACCATCTCTCAACAGCAGTAAGACAGGAACCAACACACTGCTATGGTTAGAACAGATACCCTGCAGATCTGGTTGGGCTGTAAGCCTCTCCCCAACTCTCTGAGTCCATTACCAACCACACAGGCCAGAACCAATTGTAACTTCTGGGTACACCAAGGGCACCTAACCCTCTGCACCCTGGCCTCCAGCACCATCCCTCCAGTATCCCTGGGCAGTCCTTTACCTACATTACTCTTTGAGTGGGTAAAAATTGTGTGTGGGTGCATATCTGTGTGTGCACCTGGAGGGCAGAGGTGGACAATGGTGTCTGCATCAATAACTTTCCTCCTTATTTTTGGAGATAGTCTCACTGAATCTGCAACTCACTGACTTAGCTACAATAGCTGGCCAGAGAGACCAGGGATCCCCCCTTTTCTCTTATCTCCTCAGCATGTGTTAGCATGTTGTGGGTGCTAGGGGTTAAATTCAGCTTCTCATATGTGCAGTAAGGACTTTCCTGACTAAGCTGTCTCCCAGCCCCTCCTGCTCTTTTGGGCACTTTATCATACTCTACATACAGCACATAAAGTCAACAGAAAGTGAGGCCACAAGAGGGCAGAGACAGATAGAAACCCTGACAGTAAGGGCCTCTACAGATAGAAACCATTACAGTAAGGGCCTCTACCAAGACAGCTAGCCGTGCCTGACCAGCACATTCATGCGGACTCCTGTCTGTGACATTAACCACGTTTGTTGTGGCTTGTCTTCACATGTGGAGATACACTTAAGTGTCTCTGACTGGGGATACATGTGGCATCATGGGTGGGCCTATCCCTCCCCGCACCCACCCACCACCTTACAGTAGATGGACCCGGATGCCCTCAGAATCTTTCCTCCTCCCACCATCTGGCTGAGCACCCTATTGTAGCACCACCTCTCCCAGGCTGACATGGTGGAGGACAAAAAGCCCCAGGATAAACAGAGAAGCACAGAGAAGCTTCCTCAGGCATTGCTGTTACTCAGGGGGAAAGCCTGTGACAACAAACCAGGTATGGGGGGGGGGAGAACACAATGTAAAATGCACATGAATTTGAAGATGAAACCAGTGTCTCCTTCAGGCTTAGCAGCTGGTGTCGGCAGCACCCTCTACACCCTCAAGGTGACATGCTCACCATCCTCTGCCCTTAGGGGTACCTCTGGGAAAAAGTTGGAGAACTGTCTTCAGGAGAAGGTTCCATCTTTATCTCAGGCTCTAGAATGAGCCCACAGGTTGCCCTGTCCTGGCCATTCATGTATCTGTTCTCCTGCTTGTGTGCCTGTCTGAACCTTGTCTCTGAATTCCCCTTCCCTCATCCTGTCTTGCCTAGCTCCAGGGGCCTGGGGGTGAGGGGTTGTGTGTGAATCTGTACTCTTTAACTTAGCAGCTAGGACCCTGAGCATATCTTGCTGAGGAAGGTCATGCCTCCTGGATCAGGCATCCAAACAGCTCAGGGGCCAAGCCATCTCAGAAATAACAGATAATGATGACAGTAGTTGCATTGGCCCTGTAAACTTTAACATAACTCCATGACATAAAGGCTGCAATCGTCTTATTGAACAAATGAAGAAACTGAGGCACAAGGAGGCTGAAGGCATGCCTGGGTCACATGGATAAACAGTGGGGCTGGCTAGGACTTACAACTAAGGTGGCATCCTTTTTCTGAGGCCACCACACTGTCACCTTTTCCGGTGACACTCTGTAAATGAGCCCTGTCTCCACTTAAGAGCAATGTGGTACCAGCGCACAAGACTGGGGGTAGGTAACCCTAGGGTTGGCCCACAAAGGGCCTTTCATCCAATAGAAGCCAATGGGCACTACCCTCCAGATCACACCCAGCTACTGTCCACATTATCTCTTCTGTCAAAGGCCTGGCATTGGCAAAGTACAGTCCCATGCACAGCCCGGGAGCACTTGTCACAGTGTTCCCCAGGAGGATCACTGGCCAGGTCCCCCAGAGGACCACTCCAGATGGAAAGAGTCTATCAGGGAAGGAGGGAGGCCCTTCTTTATGGATCATGCTTCCCACACATCTGCATTTTATAAGTAGGGAAACTGAGGCTCAAAGCCATTTGTCCAGTAAGCTACAGATGAAAATTTGAGTTCAGACTTCAGGGGCTCCTTTCAAGGCTTTGGTTGTCTCCCACAAGGAGTCTCCAAAGGGCAGGACTTGAAGGAGCCTGCATTCTGTAATACCCCAATAAAAACCCAAACTCCTCACACCACACATTTCTACAAAGAAAAACAAAAGCCCCCTGCTTCTTCCAGAGTCAGATGCAGGAAGGCTACAATAAAGGGCATCTGGAGAGAGATGGAGAGTGCAGGGGCAGACCAGAGGAACATGCTGTGAATAATAGGGGAGACTTTTAGCCTCTGAACCTGGGGATTCCAGGATCTCCCAGCCCCTGCCAAGCTGCAGAGCAGGTCCAAGCTAGGGGCCAAAAATCTGTGGAATGTGACTCAGAGCCACAGCCCTCACTGAATCATCTCAGACCACCTTCCTCTCGAGCAAGCTAGTGCCTGTGCTGTGAGGCGCTGTACCATGCACATACCATGTGGCCTTTCACCTAGGCTCCTGTCTTTGGTGTGAAGAGCAACAAAAAGCTGTGACGTGTCTACCAGGCAGCTAGAGAAGAATCTAGAACAACCTAGGGCTTGGGAGGGGTCTGCTAGAGAGCTGCATGGCCAAGTTCAAGTGTTAGCTCATTTTCCTATGACCAGTGTGTCAGTTTCCACACATGGGAAATGTGTGGAAACCATCAGATGGACCCCTAGGAGTATCTAGATGGACTGCATATTTTAGAAGATGCACAGTACACTAGGAACAGAGCTGGATACATGGAAGGAGCCAGAAGCCCTAGCTACAGTAAGCATTATTTATGCTCTCACTGAGTAATGAAGGGTAGCTGCCTCTACACATGGCAGTCATGAGGGCTGTAGCTCAGTCAGACATTTGCCCCAAGTCACAAAGATATCCCATTGAACATGTCTTCTTTCATATAAACTGTGGTCACTCTGTCTGACTTATTCAAAGCTTTCACTAATGTGGGAGGAACCCTGAGGTGTCAGGGCAGGATGGGTGCTGTTTTAGGTTGAACTCTAAGTTCCAAGTAGCCTTTCTCCTAAGACTGTCACCTGGCCCTTGCCTCCCAGTATCTGGTATCTTCATCTTGGGGTAAGTTTCACTTTTATCTGTGGCCAAACACCAGTCCTCATGGAGGCCAGCAGTCCCCAGAGGCTATCTGTGCCCCAAGACTGGGGCAAGGGCCCTGCCC